AAACTCTGAAAAATTCACTCCTTACACTTCTGTACAACAAACTTATTAGGACCAGACTTATCACTTTTAACTATGCCAGACTACCCGAATTTGCCCCCATCTCTCGTAGTCCAGGTCAACCTCCACCTTGACATAGTCGAGCATTGAATCTAGCAAATCCCATCGGAGCCTCGAGGGTGCATCAGCGATGTTACTTGGGGATGGTACCCTGGTGTACCAATTCAGGCTGTTGTTGCTAGCGTCCTGAAGCATTGCCTCGATCAACATCTTTCTACAAGCCTCAGACTTGGTTACTCCAGCCACTAACGCCTCCTTGACACCTTCGTTGTCAATGAAGTACAACACTCTCGCACCTCTGAGGAGTTGAGGGAAATGCCTCTTGATAATCACTATGGGCAACATTTCGGCTTGTGCAATCACATGCTCGTGCCCAAACCCTTGCCATTCATCAACGATCTTTGGGGGGATGTTGAACCCGAAGGCCAGCGGTGATTCCGTCCGTGGAGACAGGACCACTGCACCGCAGGAGGCAGTGCCCCCTTCATACGCACCGTCCGTGAAGATTAGGCATGGCATCTCGTTGTTCACCGCCTCCAATCGTCTCGGGGGAGCAGTCCTCAACAGATCGGCCGACAACCTGAGTGCTTTGCGAATCTCACTTGTCACCCCTTTGACACTTCTACTCATCAGTTGCCCTTTGCTTCACGGGGCCCATGAGGGGCGCCAACCACCTCCCACTGCACTGTGCCTCTGCAAAGTTCAATCTGCCATACACCTTAGCTGCCATGGCTGCTGGGAAGGACTGGACGGCCTCCATCTCTTCTATGGTGGCTTCCAACTCTTGCACTCTGTCCTCTTTGTTACGTACTATCACCACTCCATCATTAGACTGACTCAAGTCTACCACCACACCCAAGACTACAAACTTCCTAGCCGGCGGGATCCTCTTCTTGGCCTCCTCTGCAATCCCCCAGCCCAAGGTGCGCATGGCCTCTTCCATGACCACCTGAGTCTTCACTACCATCGCCTCTAAGTCGACATGCGGGAAGTCATCGAAGTAGTTGATCACTGGGATCAATAGGAACCTTTGCAACACTTCCTTTAGCGCCCTGGCTGCCCGATTGAAGGCCATCACAGACCCCGTCGCTCCAAACGGGAGCACGTAAGAGATAAAGTACCTCACTTCATTGCTCTGGGGGTCTAGGACTGCAATGACTGCACAGTTCCGGTCAGTTGGGGATAATGGCAGCTGCTTGTACGCAGCCCTGAGGTCAAGGCACCTACCACTAAGCTGCAGCTCTTTGCCTCTGAACTCCTCCCCCTTTTGCCCCTCCAGCACCAACCCCGTGGACAACTCAACCCTAACTTGGTCATTCGCACCCCCAAACGTCCTCATCCATGCGGCTGCCAACGAGACTACCTCGTCCACTCCACCAAGGTCCAACTTTTCACCTGGGCCATAGCACTGATTGACCGCAAACTCGCTGAGGTCGTCTATGTTCCTCACCTTGGCTCCCTGAACTATACCGAACCTTCTACTTGGTGTCCATAGTGGTCCAACTTCTTCGGTCACTTGGCCTGCAGTGAAGGGTCCTGACAACCATACCCTCTCCGCCTCCTTCAGGGTTGCCTCCCACACCTCATGCGCAACACTGACTTGGCTTCCAGCGACACTCGCCTGCCTGCCCTGCATGTGTCTCGGGACTCTGGTGGCCACCTCCTGCTGGGCTGACTTTGCCGCTCGCCATAGGTCTTCCCTGTCGAGCATTGGCGGCTTGCATTCAGGCGCAAAACAGCCAGTGACTCTGCCTTCACCTGTGATCCTCATGCCGTGACATATGTCCTCGACCAGGTGAGCATCCCCATAACCAACTGTCTGGATGAGCTCGGCTAGCACAAGCAGTTTCTTGGGTGCCAGAACTTCAGCAACTTTAGTCTCCATGTTGGCGTGAAGCTCTTGCTCTTGTGTTTCGAGTTCTTGCACTCTCTGTTTCAACCACTTCAACCTACGAACTCTCTCTCCATGCATTTCTTGGGTGCCTTTGGTCAACACTTGAAACATGCTGTCGATGACGTGGTCTGGCGTCTGAAATGCTGTGTCAAACGGGTGTTGCAACTGCTGGGCTCTCCGGACTGCCTCCATCGGTGTCATGGGAATGCCAAAAATTACTGACCTGCTTGCCCCGTCCCCGTGGTCTTCCCCCTCATTGGACGGTAAATGATGAACAATTCTGGCGCCTTCTGGGAAAACTCGGTCGGCGAGGGCGACCGCGGCTTTGGATCGGCCACTCCAGGCCAACACTTTGGCTACATCACGGGGTTTGTCCACGATGATGTCCACCACTTGCCCATCCTCCGGCAACATCGGTGGGGCACGTCGCCCCTTAGGCTGCTTGCCAGCTGCCACCCTCCAGGTCGTGGATGCCTGGTGGGCAAGCGGGGTGGACCGGGGCTCAGGGTGGACTGGTAGTTGTCGGTCACACGCCCTCCTACTGATGATGGCTGCAATGCGTTGGCATAACAACAACGGGTATTCTGCCTCGCTAGCTGTGTCGTACTGCCACTTTCCGTTGAGTGTCTTGCTGACGGACCACCCTTTGTGCGTGTGATGTTTGTTGCACATCACTCCCAACTGACACAGTTGCTTGCAATTGTGGAGGAGTGAGGTCTTCTTTTCCCGCTCTCCTCCGTGCATACACACTTGGAATGTGGTAAAGTACACACCTGCAAGCTGGAACAACTCCGCAATGCATGGAACCATCCACATATAACTATTGGTTGGATTCTCGATGAACACGTAGACTCCCTTAAAGTGACCGTACTTGAAAACTCGTGCTGCTGTGGCATAGCATGCGTTTGCTAACTCCACCCTGGTCAGGTCCGTTCCGTGTAGGTCTGGAAGCCCACTGGGGTACTGCGCGCTCCTCAGTGGTGGTGGCGATGGAACTCCTTGCCGCTGGAGCCAGGCGGGTATTGGTTTGTCTCTTGCACGTGACGCCGTACCACACGGCGGTGCCATAGGTATGAAGAACACGTCTCCTTCATCCACTTTAGCCTCAATAAAGTCTGCACTATTGCTACGTGACAAGTCTAAAACTATACAAGGTCCAACTCTGTTCTTGCACTTCTTATGGTCTACGCCTACGGCTGCAAAACCATGAGCTTTCAAACACTTGCTTAACTTGCATGACCCGGCAAACAATTCAAACGTGCGTGGCACAACGCCCGCTGCGTTTTCACTCAGCCTGCCGGGATTGCTCCCGGGTTCTTGAAAAGTTTCTGTACATGGGGCGGAGCCCTCTTCAGCTCTCCTGATGGGCTCTGATTCCTGTGCTCGCGCCGGCGTGTCACACGCCACTGTTGGCACCTCGCCTGCATCTGCAGGCCACTGGGTGCACTGCATGGCGCCATGGCCTTGCTTCCAGCACTTCATGCAGGTATGCAATCCCTTCGAGCACTTTCCGTCTTTGCCGCTGTTGCAGTTGCCCAGCTGGTAGCCATAGCAAATGCGCTCTCCGTGCTTCATCGGGGACAACCCCCAAAGCTCTTTCGGCATCTTGATGGGCATTTTCTTTGGTGCCACTGCCTTGCTTGGCCCTGCATCGGCCGGCGCTGCCTTCGTCTTCTTGGTCTCCGCCTCACGCAGCCTCTCTTTCAGCTTGAGGTTCTCCTTCATCAGCTTCCGCTTCTCGGCCCCCGGCGCTGATTGCTCTGCCGCATGCGGTGCCTCGTCCTTCCCCGCGCTGCTCTTACTGCCCGGCAATGGCAGCAACAGGGTCATGAACGCCGGGTTTGCTATCACCCGGTCAATGGCGGCATCTGCCAAGCGCCTTCCTGTGGCATCTCTGCCGAGGTCTCCTTGAAGTTCTTCTGACATCAGCTTCCATGCCCTGCGATCTGCTGCGACCACCTGGGCCAGCGTCACCGCCATGTAGCCCATTGGTGCCTCCCGCTGATACTCCTGGAACATCTTGTCGATCAGGCGCTCATGGGCAGTGAAGCTCATGACATCAGCAACTTCCAAGGCCAGTCCCCGCCTCGTGTAAGCTTGCCTCAACCTCAGGTCCGTGCGGGCGTCTGCCTCCGGCAACTTGGTCTCATCGTGGGCCCTCAAGTGCCCGGATGCATCCTTCTTGATCAATTCCTCGGTCTTCACGTTCTGCAACTCCTGATCTCTTGTGGGGATCTCGTGCGGAGCCAGGTACTTCAGCTCACCTTCAACTCGCATCGAATGGAACTTGTCAACGACATGATGCGCTGGCTCCAACTGGTCTGACAGTTGAAGGTGCCCATACATCGCCTTCAGTTGAGCCCACCTCGTCTTCCGCTCTACCGGTGGCAGCTTCCTGGTCTTCGACCCGTCTGCTTCTTGGGTCCCCTCCAGGCGGCTACGGAGCTCAGCTGCCACGATCGTGTAGGCCTCATGGTAGAGCCTCCTCAACTTTGGGAGATCTGCATGGTCTCCTGCCCCAGTCAGCGGCCGCGCCACCTGCTGGATGAATGCCTGATCATCTCCTGACCCGGGCGACCAGCTGCTGGCAAACGCAAAGGTGCTCATAGTCGTCCAACCTCTGCGTGTCATCTCATCTTTGTAGCCCTCGAGCCCCATGTCCTTGAGCTTCGCCTCGAAGACCGCTTGGGATTCGGTCAACGTCGCCATGGCTCTGCTCGGGTGTTCACCACTAACGCTCGGGCCTCACGTCACTTCGGCATTCGCGTCACCTCACAATTCACTTGCTGCACCTCACAACTCTCTACTATACATACTTTTACCATGACTCTCCTACTTCACATATTCCTACCCCACACTTGCTTTCTATCGCGCGTCGCCCGCCCCGGCAGTCCTTTGCACCTGACTTCGTTCTGCAGGACCACCCTGCTCCACTTGACCTGGCCGGACTACCCGGTGTCAGGTCAAATGCACTTGGGAACAACTCCCTGCAGCATACTCCATGCATCACTTGGCCGGTCTACGATGGTCACTTGCGACATCCGGTCCTCCATCCCCCCCCGGCCTCACCTTGGCTCACTTTTTGCTCGCTGACAGTGGTCCTTCACCTTGTGTAGCCTTCACACACTTTACACTTACTTCCCCAGGCATGGACTTCATAGTCCAACTTCACCATGACGGCGGAGATCACTCTGCCACATGCTAACTTGCCCGGGATCACACTTCCACTATGCACAGTACCTGTGAGACCATGCCTGTACAACTCTGCTGTGGCTTTCTTTGGTGGCCCGAGTTTGGCTGTGACAACTGCCTCGAGGTTCCTCTCATCTTCACTCTCGCGGTCCTCCGACTCTTCTTCACTGCTCTCGCTTGTCACCTCAGCCAGCTCCACCAACCTGTGAGTCGGCTTGCCTGGCGACTTCACCTCGAGCATGTCCCACTAACCTTCGGGGATCAGAACTTCGTCGCCATCCGGCTCCACTTCCCGACCTTCCTCACTTGGAAGAACCGGTGACTTGACCCAGCGCTGGTTCCGGGGCGCGTCTGGCTTGAACTTGCCTGTGTAAATGTCTCCGATCACATTCGTCAGGATGTCTAGTCCCTCGGCCAACGCGTCCCTGCTGTAGATCACCACACTCTTGTCCTTGGGCTTGACATGGTACCCCAGCAACCTTCGCACTTTCTCTGGGGCCATGGCTTTTGCAAGCCAAGACAAAGCCGTTGCCTTCATGGAGTGAGCACCGACATCCCCCAACTTCTGGGGGTAGATGGCATACTTCTGCAGCATTTCACACAGCCAGATGGATGCCTCAGGCGTCGACAACCTTGCCTGGCTCCACCCACCTCCAGGCACTGGTGTTGGTAGGAACGGGCGTCCCGGCAGCGCTCTCAAACCAGACATGTTCCTCAGCTTGAGCAGCTCCTCCGCCCATTGGACACCTGTCACACCTTGGCACGGTGCAACCACCGGGAGAACTCTCCTTGCCCTGCCAACCAGTGCGTCTGTCTTGTGAATGCTTGTGCCACCTTCGAGGTACCCTCCATCGACCGTTGGCTCAGAGTCAATGCCTTGGCTATCACCGAACCTCAACCTACCATACACGCATAGCAAGCAGTGCCCAGCGAATACTCGATCTTGGAGGGGGAAGCCTTCTCCTGCCAGGACTATTTCAAGCAGCGACACTTGAGACACCGTCAACGCGTCCCTCTGCCTCAATACCCTCTTCGTGAGGTAACTTCTGTGCGCAGAACCAGTGATGCGACCGCTCTGCAGGATCTCGTCCACCCCCTCCAACTGTATGGTCCCTTTGCAGAAGGCTAGTGCACTCCTGAAACTATTTGCACGAGTGGCTGGAGCTCCATCTTTCCGGAGCTGGTCAACATACTGGTACACTTGGGCCTCGACAACTGGGAAGGGTGGAAGACCTTTGGCCCTCGCCCACCTGATGTAGATCATCATGGCGCTCAGCCTCACTTGCAGTGTCCCGTTCTTCTTCTTCGCAAAGATGTCCTCGAGCACTGACTCACCGGCCTGATCGAGCATGCCTGCTGCTTTGCACGACTTCCTGGCCTCGTCGATCACGATCTTCCACCCTTCCATCACTTTCTCTCTTTCTGTTTCCATGGCTTTGGACCATGGCATCCGCTGACTTCCATCGAGCTTGAAACTCGGCACCATCTTCCAGGCCTCTTCAACCTTCTTGATCTCAGGCTGCACGTCCTCGTCGACCTGGATTGCATGTGGGGCTCTTGTCTTCTCGTCCAAGAACTTGGTCTCCATAACTGACGACTTTCGTTCCAGCACAAGACCTGCGAAGCCTTTCTCCCATGGCATCTTGAGCTCGCCCGGAACGTGGAACTTCAGCTTCTGCACTTCAGAGCGCCCCATCTCATACTCGTCACACATGATGGGGTCACCTGCAGCCGGAGCCTCTGCATTCTTCGTCTCCTTCATGTTCTCGACTAACTTCTTGAGGGCCTCCAATGGACTCATCTTCACCTGCTCATGGTCGCTGTTGGAGTCGACATCCATGACCTCAGTTGGGGACCCTGATCTGTCGCCCTCGCCGTTGCGAATGTCCTCAGCTCTCATGCCCTCGAGCTCTTTGAGTCTGGCCGCCATCTCATGGATGTTCTCCACCTGCTCGAACTCCTGGGTGGCATCCACCTGCGTGACCTCCATTGGCGTGCCCTCGTCGTCCGTCACCACAATGGGCCCCCCCGCACTACCTCCCCCTGGCTTGGGGGCCATCACATCATCCAGCTCCATGGCTGAAAAACAACAGAGTGCGGGGGGGGCCCCTTACTTGGAGCCAAAATGGCACGTGGATTCGACCGTACGTCACATGGTTCCTCCCTGTTTCTATTTGTCAAAATACATCATCACTACGTGACAGATTGCTTTTGTGGACTGATGCTCTTGGGCCTGCCGCAGCCAGGCTCGCAAAGGGGCATCCGGCTGCTCTGGCAGCCGCTGCAGCTGCAGCGGACTCGCTGGAGGGCGGAGCTGTCGCTGGTGGTGGGACTGGATCTGCCTACAAGGTACACTTGAATCAGGGAAGGATCGATGACGGTTATCCTTTCTGTCACGAACGGATGATGCTCACATGCACAGACCCTTTTCCAACCAAAGCCTCGAAGCCGGCTAGAGAGTCCAGCTCCTATCAAGGGTGAGAAGCTCTGCGTTCACTCTCAATCAGCTCAAAAAGCTCCTCATATGACTCATGTGCGCCATATGCGGCTGAATTCTCCAGGATAGCTCCCCGTGGTTCAAGAAGCAAGCAACGGTCAAACTCAGGATTGCTATTCAACCTTTTGTACGACAAACCTGGAAGATGCGAGTGTTCAAGAAGAAGGCGTAGTTTGCCTCCTCAACCATGCCTGAGATACACAGTTTCCCCTCCAAAAGCAGAGGACGGCAGAAGTTTGTTGATGGGGTGGGCTGGTGGTAAAGGCATGCAATTGAAAAAAACACTTTTTAAAGCACGCAATCCTTTGCCCCTCCTCTCTGCCAAGAATCGATCTGCAGTTGCGCTGTCCGCATGCAAACTGTCCATGCGAGCTCTGTACATATTCCTAGGCGTGAGGACTGACAAACACATTTTATACCGAGGACGGCATCCTCCTTCCCATCCACCTACCGGATCGCACTATTTATCAACATAATCTCAAGAAGGCAGTCAGAACAGGAAAGCCACTAGAGCGGATACCCCTTCCCATTCGTGGGTGCCTCGTAGCGATTTCAAAATGGAGCACACTTGCAGAGGTCCGTCCAGAAATGTCAGAGGTCTGTTCATGAGGATGATGTTTACTTTTCACATGGACCAACCCTTGGATACCTCTAGCAGCCCACAACATGGATGGAGGAGTGTACGGGACCGGTGCAGAAGTCAGCTTCTCACATTTAGGTGTCATACAAAGTGCCTCATCATATCGCAACCCTTCAAGATCTAGGAGCTGACTTCATGTGAAAGCTAATGGCTAATGCCTTCGCCAAAGCGCTTGAAAACCATCGTATCTGGGATTCTTTTGAAGTCGTAGAAATGAACGCCTCAGCAGGAGAAAGATTGACAGGTGGTCAGTAGTAGGGAGCCAGCAAAGCGTCATGCCTTCTACAGGTGATGTTTGACAAAGACAAGTGGTTGTTCCCAACATGCCTTTTCTGCGTGATGGCGAACATGGGGCTCCCACCTACTGACTAACATCACATTCGCTACAACAAGCGATTGAGGCTTGCGACTCGCGTTCGTGAACGCAATGATGGTAGTCCAAAGTGTGCTCATCGGCAATTTGGCCACAGGACTTGCACATGTCACGCCGGCAAAGTGGACATGGGATGGTAACCAATCTTGGCTCCAGTGACCGTGGCCCTTCCTGGCAGAATCCCCACAGATCTGCTCTGGCATTCGTTCCACCAAACCCAAATGAGGATACACCCAAGTGCTGACTGTTCAAGCCAACATCGGCCAACTCGTTCCCAAAGAAACATGGAAATCCCTCCGTGTCCAGGCTCCCATTCAGAACCCTAAGGTGCACGTTGGCAGGGCACGCGGAGTGAAGTAAAATCAAAACACACTTCACAAAGCCGTTCAGCCCAGCAGCAGCCTCTGCGTGCCCAAGATTGCTCTTCGAGCTGGTCAACAGCAGTGGGAAACGTTTTCCGCGGACAACTCCACGCACCGCTCCAACTTCTATGGGATCTCCAAGGGCGGTTCCTGTGCCATGACACTCCATGGAGCTAAGTGATTCAGCCGAAATTTCAGCCATTGCCAGCGAATCCCGTATGCAGCTTTGCTGAGATGGGCCATTCGGAGCAGTCATGCTTGCCGACCTCCCATCCTGGTTTACTGCGCTACCCAGGAGGCTGCAAAGGTGCATGTCCATGTCTTGTTCCCCGGTGTCCAACGAGAGGAAAGCAGCGCTGCAGCCCTCTCCACGACCAAAGCCGCTGGCACTCCCATCAAATGTGAGGCATCTTCCATGCACTCCTAGGAAACCTCCAGCACCCAAGCCCACAAAGCCATCAGGTCCAAGGAGGACCCTGACACCAATCACCAGCGCACCAGTGGGAGCACACTTTGCCAGGCACAGTTTTGAATGAGCATGGCCCAGGGCTACTAGGGAAGACGAACAAGCAGTGTCAAAGCTGCAGTTTTCCCCACGAAGGCCAAAACAATACGCCAAACGGCTGGCTGTTACTGGTGCAGCTGTACCTTGGTTGAAGTGTGGGCTCAGTGCACAAACATAGTTGCGGGATTCGCTGGTGCAATCGCCAACATAAGTATCTATGCTCTTTGTCGTAACTCCTGCTTCCAGCAAAGAAGTGGCGCCAGTACGCAGAACGAGTCGCTGCTCTGGTACCATCGCGTTAGCCTCGCTGGACTTCATGCCAAAATATCTGCAGTCGAAGCTCCAGAGATTCTGGCTCGACAAAAAGGCACCATGTTTAGCATTGGTTTTCCCAACTGCGCCAGCATCCGGATCTATAGTGTAATACAACGAAAGGTCCCACCTGTCAAGCGCAACTTCTGTTTGCGTCTCACCACCTGCGAACAGCAGTGACCACAGCTCGTCAAATGAATCGCAACATCCTGGGAGGCAGGTTGACACAGAAAGTACCTGTGCTTTGCCTGATGGCGGAGGTGGACCAGTGAATGCGGTTTCGTCAAGGTATTCCATTGCAAAAACAGCTTGACGCCGCTGCGGCTCATGGGCATTCCCCTAAAGCTACAGTAACTACAAGCTTTGGAAAGCTGTCACCCCACATGAGCAAACGAGCCATGACATGTTTTGGCGGCACCATTTCCTGTAGAAGGTCTGTCAGGTCGGCTGTCAACTGGTCAATCGGGAAACTCTCAGGATGAAAGGGCCTCCGTATATATAAATTAAATACATACATACCGCGTCGTGTAGATACAACTTTTATCCCTATCTATCTGTCAATGTACATCTGTGCATGTATCTGGTGGTTTGCAGTCCGCAAATTCTCGGCTGAGCCAAGTTCAACAGCTGCAGTGCGGAGGTGGCCCAAGCCTGTCCACCTGTGGAGGCATGTTGCTGAATTGCCGGGCGCTCCCACCGGAGCCGTCCGCGGGCAACTTCATGCCGCGAATGGCAGCCTTCTTCAGCAGCTGCCCACCGCTAAGGTCACCCAAATACCTCTGGTGAATGACACGCTTCACGGAAGAGAAATGGATCAATTTGACGCTAATCGTTAACCTCAACCCATCTCACTATCTCAATATATAAATCTCACCTCAATTTTTGCGTGTTGAGCAGTGAGACCCACATTCCCGCCTTGTGTAGGCATGCGGCAACAACAACTCGGGCGCCTCGTCCTGGAGCTGGCGCAGGCGCTGCACGTATTCTCCTGACACAGCGCAGCGGGCTTCACTGTGGAAGCCAAGCTGTTGAACGCCCCATTGGTATTGTCGCACTTCTTAGTTAAAACAAAACGAGTTTCTTGATGCTAGCTGAGGCTTCTGTTGAGAACCAACCTGTTGGGTTGCTAGCGCTGTGTGCTTCGTTGTGCTCGTGGACGTTCCTTTGCTGAGGGTGGTTTGATGGTCAAATGACTTTCCGAAGCTGTTTGTGGACGTTTTGAGGGAAGTTATGTTGACATTCGACGGAGAAGAAGTGCCACCTCATTTGAACACTGAAGCTTTTGCGATCGGCTCCGCTGTGTCACTTTGAGGATTATATATATATACACATTTGTGCAAATGCAAAGCATATGGCGGCAACATCACATTTGACGCGATGCTTGCTGCCCGGCTGCTGGTGGTCTTTGATGGGAGCGTCTCCTGCGGTGAACTAGGCTCGGCCGAGTTTCCCTGGAACATCACTGCACACGTCTCAGACCCATCTCCTGCTCCCAATTTCTACCCAAATAAAACTCTGCATCCAGCTTCAACGCAGCTGCTCTTTCCAGCTCTTCCTGAGTGCGACTAGTGCTACGTGCCTCACATGTCAGTCCGCTCAAAGTCCACACCCGTTTGAACCAACATGTGGCTTATGTTAGTTAAGGGTGGTGGGGCCAAGGCCGCTTGCATCTTCAGACTAAGGCGCTGGGAAGTGCAAGGATTCGACAAGGGGATGCTCCTGATTGGCTTCCAAAGCATCCTCTAAGGCTTGGTATATGTGGAAGAGATTCACAACCTTGCTCAGTTCAAACTTCAACATTGTGTTCCAATTCTTGCATCAATGCTGTCATCATTTAAGAAACAGGTGTGCTGATCCTTGAAATGGAAAGGGTACATGGACTTAGTCACGGGCAAACTGCGCGTAAATCCTGAGCAGCCAACGAATCAATCATCGCAACACGCCGCACCTGCTTTACCCTAAGCATGCCAGTGTGACGCACTAGTCCGCCAGCCGAGTTTCTGTTGATCAACTCGGCATTTGATGAACTCTTTGACGAAATGGACTGATTCTGCAGCTTTGTGCGCTTCCATTGTGCCTCACAAGAGCTTGTCGGCCACACTTACAAGTGAAGAACGCTAGACTGCACATTATCAAGCAGGGGCCCAAAATGTGAAAAACTCCACTTGCCACGTTGCCTTCCTTCAGCTTCTTTGCCAATCCATCTTCTGGCTGCGCCTGAGGTTGAAACAACAACCGGGAAATGTTCCAACATCTATGTCGCGTCTGTTGTTTTATGCGGCTTTTGTATTCTGCCGTGTCCACTGGAGCGAGTTGGGCGGGGGCCTCAATCCAAAGACCCCAGGAGCGCGTTTCGAGCTCCAGAGCCAGAGGCGTTCCACTTGAAGTGCAACAATTCTTGAAAGGGCAGGCCTCCTGGTTTGAACTTCACGCTTCTGGTGCAACATGATGCAAATTTGCGTGAAGCTCTCCCCCCACTCTTTTTTGTCTGTCTCTCTGCTCTTCGTTCTTGAAAGTGTGGCAACAAGAAAATGTCCTGAAAGACGGGGCACTCCCCCACTGTCTGCTTCACCGTTTGAGATGCCTGCAGGCTCTGTGAACAGCTAAGGCATCATAAGATCATGGAAATTGGTTTTGTGGTTTTCTGAGCTTCCGGTTTCGGATTGCAGTTCGCGGAGCACCTTGTGCACTGTTTTCAGCATGTCTACGAGTACTGCGTGAGGCTTACCTTCGGCATCTTGCGCCTGAACAACCCCCACAAACAAGGAAAGTGTGAGTCTCAGCCGTGCCATACGTCACAGCAATCGTGGAGCATCACTGCGCTCTTCTTTTCTGCACCCCTTCCATCGCTCCCAGCTTCTTGGACTACACTGCGTAGAACACGTACAGGACCCTCCGGCCACGCTCATTCGACGCGCCAGTGACGGCAACAGCATTTCTGGAGGTTGCCCTGACAGCTGCCTGCCGGTGCAACATGTCCCAGGGCATGTCCAAGTTGAAGCTGCGATACCTGAGCCACACAATGTCACTTAGCCTACCTAGCTCTTTGACTGACTGAGCTTTGACTCCTTGCACAATCTGCGCAACACTAAAGGTCGGAAGCAAAAGGTGTTTAAACAGGCACCATCCTTACCAAGGCACTGAAGGCGCAAGGGGCCATATCCAGGTAGGGAGCTAGAGTACTGTGCAGAAAACATTGCAGGATCCGTTGGGCTTAAATTATGAGCATCAAGGCTAATCAATTGACCTTGCTGTACCCCATGCCTTTGCAAGCTTGCCAGGAGCTCCTCAGCAGCCCAATTCCAGCCCCCTCCTGCTGCTGTGACATGATTCACAATGATGGGCGATGGTCGGTCATCTTCCAAGAAAATCATCAACATAAGACCTTCACCTTAGGTGCTCAAGCGCTACTCTCTGTGGCCTCTTGGATTAAAACACAACAACATCTCTGCCCCGGCACTAGTAAATGATGAAAAAAACCTCTGAACTCCATGCATGCCAACACGCTGTTATATAATCATGCTTCCATTATTCGATCCCAGGCACAATCACTTGAGCCTGTGGTCGCCACCACCTCCTTCTCAGCCGTGATCTGAAGTTGTACACTGACCGGGAATGGTAGCAATCACCATTGCTACGGTCACAGAGTAATGGAGGGTTCTTACAGCAAAAGCGATTTGTGAATCTGGGAGAAGCTGCGAACCAACCCTAGGCGCCTTTCTACAAGGCGCACATGAGGGACATCCAACTCTGGCCTGGTCGGCCCAGCTATACAACTCGTTCCAGTCGCGCCCTCGCCGCATCTGCCAGCTGAGTGACAAAGGACCACGACCTGGCAGGTTCCGCTTGAATACCTTAGCAACAGAAACAAATGAAAAAGGAATAAAGTTTCACACAACCCATGCACAAGCTTGGAGCCCGGTGACGGCCAGCAGTATTGCTGGAGATATCAAATCACCGGTATGAGCATCTATACTCAACACCTGCACAAAATCGGGATTGAGTGCAAAAAGCATGGCGCACACAGAGCGACTCGAGGAACACGCCTGCCCCTTTTGCACCCCAGCTTCATGGAGCTTTTGGAGAAGCTCATCTGCCGCCGCATCCCAAGATTGATCGCTCGGCCGCTCAACCTCCACATACTCTGCAAGATCTCCGCTCGCCTCGAGGCCGGCTGAGCTCAGAGCTGCTGAGGCACTTCTTAAAGGGAGCGGAAGGTCTCCCAGTTCTTGGGAGTGGCATTGGTGGACTGTGCGCAGATGTCTAATGGTGATTTTTGGCTAACCGACTCATATACATGTGCATATCGCATAAAACCGCATATGGCATACGTATGCAATCATAAGCTTCTTAGCAAGAGAACAGGCCCTCAAGATGCTATTGAGCAAAGCTGCTTGAAAGAAAGTGTAGTGCACAGACCGCCCTTCGCAGTTGGACGACCCTGAGAGAGACAGCACATCCTTTCCTTCAGATGCCTTGCAGCTCGTTTCGTGAAAGAAACTCCATTCATTATCCTCATTCAAACCCATCCAGTCCACGCAAAGTGGACCCCTGCCCTTTAAATCCAGAGAATAGAATGCACAGAACATTGCATCCATATCAGGGTGGTGGTTGTGGGCATCGATGCCAAGGACCTGGCCTCGCTCAAGGTTTAAGCCGTTGAGAGAGATGACACAGCTTGAAGCCGCCAGCTCCCATGCACAACCACTCGCTGACAGGAACTTCAGCTGCCGCAGCGGAGTCACTTCTCCTCCATAGTAAAACACTCCAATGGCGAGCTCTGACTTTTCCATTGAACTCGCAGTCACTGAGATAACTTCCTTGCCCTGTACGAATTGCTCCACTTGAGCAAAGCCTACACTTCCAGAATTAACAAATGCAGAATTGATATCGATTCAAGCTGCATATCAGCATATCTGTCATTTTTTCTAACATGTATCACTGCATGCAGTAACATGATGTATAAAACATGTATAGCCTATATAGCGTTGTATGGCTTGCAACTTGTCAATTCATGGTCAACAACAATACCAAGATTACACCACCGTAGACCCCAAACAGTTTATGTTTTTCAAAATCGAAACTAGAGCTTGCGACGTCCAGAGCTGGGAGACAAGTGTAAAGGACTGCAAGGCAGAGACGGACACAGCAGTACAGAGCCGGCGGACACATCTTACTGTAACAAAGAATTGAGAAGCCCTAACAGTAAACCTTTTGGGGAGTTATTCCTTTCAAGTGCGAACATGATGCTGGTCATGCTGCTCAGTCAGCGGGGAGCTGACCACGTGAGGACAAGAAATAAAAGCATGAGGAGCGAAGGATGTGATATGAAATTGATTTTTGGTGCCTGACGTATGCCCTCCGTCCCAATTGAACAGAGAGATCGCTGCCACGCCGCCGAAATCCGGTCATTCATCCAACGGTTGCCCGAAAAGGACAACAAAGCTGAGAGAGTTACACAGTGTGGCAGGAATGCAATCCCGGAGACAGTCACGCACCCCTTGCAAAGGAGCAAGAACCTTTCACAGGCGAACCTGTTCCAGCGGACAGGGCAGAAAACAGCAGTGCAGGCACCAAACCTGAAAGACAAAAAGAAAGATATCACATGGGCCCATGGAAGACAAATGAATAGAAATGCTACATGCCCAGCGGAAAAGGGCGGACACCAGCAGTGACAGACCTGGAAAAACACCAACAGTGACAGACCTGGGAGACTAATGAATAGAAATGCTGCATGGCCGACGAAAAGGGCGGACACCAGCAGTGACAGACCTGGGAGACAAATGAATAGAAATGCTACATGGCCAACGGAAAAGGGCGGACACCACCAGAGACGGCACCAGCAGTGACGGACCTGGGAGACAAATGAATAGAAACAGAGGACAAGGGCGGACACCACCAGTGACAGACCTGGGAGACAGACGAATAGAAATGTTGCATCGCCAGCGGAAAAGGGCGGACACGAGCAGTGACACAAAGGGCGGACACGTCTTAAGAAAGAATTGAGAAACCCCAACAGTATTGAAAAAAACGACAAAACGGAGGAGGGATGTGATTGCAAAGGTGTGCCTTTCTGGAGATCATCCACCAGAATTAGGTGGTGTTGGAGATCAAGATCTCCACGGCTCGGCAAGTCAGCGCTAAAGTAGGCTGTGCAAACCGCGGCAGGGCCAGCGGCCCTGTGGCCCCCGCTGTGGAAGTCGATCCATAAGAGTTGGCCTTGTCTGGATCCAAATCACTTGGTTTGCAATGATCACTTGGGGTGTCAAGCTTTGTGACACCCGTGCTTGATCTTGTTTGTAAGCTTCTGAACTAGCCTTGTTCAATGCCTTGCTGCTTCAATTCGTCCGCCAATCGGGGCACAGCAAGCTTCCAGGCACTCTCGCGAATAGAAACGTGGCCTCTCAAAGAACCAACGGCGCAGTCCGCCAAGTTTGGACATGTCGAAAGCGATCTGAAGACTAGGAAAGTAGCAAGCTTGTGCACAAGTGACAGCTTTGGGAGCGACATTCTGGCTTGTAGAGTCTCAAGCTCCCAACTTCTGGCCTATGTTCTCTGGGACCGCCTCTGTGCTCGCGTATACTAGCTGCAGCATGGGTGTTGCATTGACATCAGTCTGAAGTTCTGCAAGAAGTTGCTCGTTTCCTGGTTAAAGGACTGATGCGTGGAGATGCATCAAACAATGCAGCAAGAAAGGCTCAAGAATACCAATGCTTGTGAAAGCTGCTTGTGTTTGGAGAGTCTGAGCTTTTGTCTGAGGACCGCATCACCGAGCAAAAGCCTGAAGTCGGCAGTGGACTCGCCGTTTTGAAGAGCCAAGCGACCTTACACTGATTTCTGCGTCTGAACTTGCCAGAGCACAAGCTGTGGTAGATTGAGACTGCCCAGGAGGGTTCGACCAACTGGTGATTGAGCCCCACATGCGTGTTGCAAGCAAGCATCGTTTCAGCCCAATGACTGTCTCCCCAGCCTCTGCCAATTCTTGGCGTAACGAGCCATCCAGCCTTGCGATCTCCACAGTCACCATGGCGGAAACAAGCAGTCGCAACACGTCACATCACCCGTTCTCAGACTTGAGCCTGTAGCAGCAGATGAAGGAGAGTCACAGCAAACGACAAATTCCTTGGCACCTGCAGCCATCCCTCAGAAGCCTGGCCTTGCCATGAGAAGGTGGCAAAGCCTCAAGCTTCGATTGCAGCCCTGCTAGGTCCCCTGTCTCGTTGAAAGGACACCTCATCATGATACAAACAAGAAACAAGTGCAACTCTTGGGACATCTCAGTGCATAGAGTCATAGAGATGATAGATCATGGACGGCCTGTGAAGCAGAAAACAAGACCTCCTCAGGAGCCAGCCCATCTTTGAAGGCGGGACAAGCACCAAGGGCTTCTTCACGTTTCTCCTGGCAAGCTGCTCAGCAGTATCCAGAGCAGCTTGTAAAAAACAATAGGCTGCGGTTGCGCCATGCACAACTAGTTATCTCCGCAAGCTTGCCTTGATCCATTCAGCTACCTCCACGCTCTTTCCATAAGGGCAGCCGTCAGCAAAGGCAGGGCAGCCATCTGCCACCGTGTTCTGACACTCCTCGTCCATCTGGTTTTCGCAGCCCATTGCAAACGGGGCCGGCGTGATCTGTACAAGGTCTTCTGTGACACCAGTCTCTATGTGTAACTTTGAGCCACTACAAGTCGCCGAGCGCAGAGGAGTGATGAAACCAAATCACAAGGTCTCTGATTGGAAAGCAAGTTGTTGGTGTCAAAGGCCAAAGATGCAACTTGCGAATCACGAACTAGATGGCTCCCCCTCCCTGCTCCAGCTCAGCCAAGTATCTGTAGGAGATTCAATTGCTGACCTCAGACTAGGCTCACATGTGCCTCGTTCCAAACCAGCAGCCCTCCTCTTCCATTCCAGGCTCCCACACTCCACTCTGAAAAGCGGTCGTCCAGTTGCTTGATGTGTGTCCAAGACACACCGTCAAATTTCATCTCATTTAGCCTGATCACAGCAGCTGATCACAGCAGTCGTTGTCAGGGTTTGCACTGGTGAGCTGATGAGCTGAGCTTCATTGTCTGTGACCAATGCGCCTGGAACCCAATCAGCCAAATCCTGAACATCCCTGATTTGTAGACTGACAACTTATATACCAGTTTCCAGTGGCGCGCTATTCGCTCTGCAGATTTACAGTTGCCAGAATGGTCCTCTAGCCGTGCACCACAGCGCTTAAGGTGTTGCGAGTTAATTTGGCAATGATGATGATTGATTGTCCTGTGAGGACGGCGTCCATCGTCATTTCTGCAACAATGAGAATGTTCAATGCCATTCCTAGTTGCGGCTATGATGTGCTGTGCGAATGATCTTGATTCAGCATGTTTGGGGTGAGGTGTGGCAAATCTAGTGATTGCAGTTTCTTGAACAGTCTCGATTCGGCGTGAATGGGGTGAAGTGGGCGTGGTGAAAATATGTTAACGTTCGTTGTGAAGTTTGGTTATCGTTCGTTCATGGGCGTCAAAAAACGGCAAAAACATGCAATGGGGAGACAACGCATCCTGCCAAATTTTAACAGCTCTGCTGAACCAAGTCTGAGCCAAGCGCTTGGAAGTCGACCAGACCAGGAAATGCTCAAAGGACACTTGGCTCAGATTGCCATCTGAGCCACCCAAAACAAGCATCAAAGCCGAGCAGCAAAACCATCTATATAATTGAATTCTTGAGGGACCAATGAGCGGGCCTCCTCCAAACTTGCGGAATGCATCAAGATGGAGCCGCATTGCCAAAGTCGGAGCCACCCCTCAGTTCTTTGCGCAACGCATTTTTCGATTCCAGTGCTGCTTGAGAATTCGATCGACCCGACAGGCACGTTCAATACTTCATAAATCTGAAGTGTCTTACATCCGCCACTTGCAGTCAAGGAACGCCACAGAAAATGATCGACCGTTCCAGCCAGCCTCTTCTCGAGAACCTCTTTTGGGGACTCGCCGGGCGGAGCCTCTGGATGATCACGGCGAAACGTCACGAGTTCGCAGCTCGTGGGCTCCACAAGCTCCTCAGCCGGCAGGATGGCCTTGCCCTCACCACTCCGCACAGGCTACTTTTGGAAGGACTTCCAGGTCTAAAGCGTCCAAAGGATCTGTCTAAGACTCTCCTAAGGCTTCCTAAGGCCCTGAAGCCTAAGACTTCCAGTCATGGTTGTCTAAGTTATCCGCCTCAGGGATTGGCCAAAAGTCCAGGTTTCTCCTTGGCAACAGGTCAACAGGTCCCAGCGCTTTCTCAACTCTCAATGCAACATACGGCAATTGTTGCGACAGTGGTGACATATGACTAAAACATATGGACTGTTGTTGCCTTGCAACATCTTGCAGCTAAGGGCTCCCAGCTGTGGTGCTCAAGATCTGGAACAGTGAATGGAGCAGTTTCCAGGCTGATTCTGAAGAAAAACGCATTACCTCGTCCTATCAAAAGTAACCAGCACACTGGACCATCATGCCACTTGAATGGTTGATCAATTGAATACTTTGATCAACCAGGCATTGCGCGTGGTTTGAGTATGTTTAGACAGCTTTGTTCTTCAAGAACCAGTCCTCCTGTATGGCATCTTGCATTGTGGTTAGGAACCTTTTGAAGGCTTCTGATGAGTTGTCCATCATTAGGACGGCCAATATTCCTAAGGAAAAATTGAGAATCAAAACAAACAACCAGCAGTGCAGGAAGCAAAAGCAGTGGACTGATGACAAGCTTCGTGACAGAAACATTTCACCATGCAGCTTTTGCGCCAGCTGCCGAAAACTGTGCGAGGATTTGGGTCGCTTTCGTCGCTCACCTGGGCTCAAATCGCATCTTTCCACCTGTTTTTTCTGGTCCAGTGGTGCTTCGACCTCTTGGCCCTTCCTACTCCCCAACGACGGAGGTAACAACAAACAGCCCAGTAAGTAATAAAGATATAGTGTGTGTCCTATGCTGAACTGACCAAACCCCGCTGGGACCACTTCATTGAGCTTGCGGCCACAAGATGACCCCCGAGTACATCTGCCTACATCGTCTTACTGCATCCGATGCTAAAATTAGAACAATATTGGTTTGCGAGAAGCAACCGGAGGGATCTTGGAGGGGCTGGACTGCAATACTTTCACGCCACTTCTCTGAAGATACCCTGCCAGCAATGCCAGGAATGTAGCGGGCTTAAATACATATAATATATATATATATACATGCTCCAAGATACAGCTCTTGGCAATCTCAAGGCAGCAGTGGCCTCAGATTTTCGTGGCTGCCACAGTGGCTGCAAGGAAGGAATTGGCTGGAACTTCGAAGATTCCACTTGTGAGTAGTGCAGCAGAACAGCATGTTCGAGCAGGGTACGGCGTACAAGGACTTTTCCCTCTCCAAGCAAGCCTTTAATCTCACGTTTGGGACAGGAAAATTTGATCAAGACAGCGGCAGCTCTCAGATTCCCAGTGTAGGACCCTTCTTGAACTGGAGCCAAGCAGAAACCAGCAGGCCGAAGACAGTGATGGGAACAGTTCCCAGCACAATACCCAGCATGACTGTTTCAAGGGGTGCAGCCAGGTTGAGTGAAGAGCTGTCCATGTCCAAGTTGTCCATAGCCATTGCCACCTGCGGGAGTGCTCCAGCTGCTGCTCCAGCTGTGATCATTTGTGCCCCCCGCAGCGAATCAGATTGACGTGGCGCAGCCACAAAGGCATTTCCGATGAAGAGGAATGCCAAAAGGCCAATGAGCATGGCTGGGACGCTGGCGCGAGATCGGGCCATGATCTGAGATTCTACTTTCCAGCGGTACCTGAATGACTTGCCTGATCTTGAGCTGAAGAAACGTCGAGCATTTCGAGAGGTCCATGAAATTAAGTTGTAGGGTACCAACTCGCAGCTTCAGACCCAGACTGCTTTTGCACCAAGGCACGAAAGCCACCAACAGCCGCGAATCCAGGCCAAGCTTCTGCGTCGCTGATCCAACCCTCGCAGGTTCACACTCTTGTAGGCTCGTCAAATAAAAAGCTGCTCATCTACAAGTAGGATTCGCCCCGCACACACAGCTCTGCTTGGGAACAGATATGTGGCCTTGCGGAGAAACTCGATGCCCTTAAACACTTGCTGCAGCTCCTGGCCAAGAAGCCGCTTTCCATTCCAGAACGCGATGCCGGAGTCCACTGAAGCCTACAGTACCTGCTTTATATATATATATGTATATGATATGTATGAACTCAGCTCCTGGTCTTCAGCGACTTCCGTGTGCCAACTTTGAAGCAATGGCAGCAAAAACCTGGCAGCACAAGGCCTTTCCATTTCTCAGCTGTCAGCATCATGACACATCATGTAGCTTTCTGCTTCTCTCACCGCAGGTGTGCATGAGAGCCTGGTCAGTTTGCCGTGGCAACTTTCCGAGTTGAGAAGCTTCAGCAGCGAGGCCCTTGCACCACAGAGCTCTGTTCCCTTGAGCTGTTTTGCCTGGCAATGCAGGTGACAGAAACATCGTCCGTGTGGAGAGCGGGTGTTTTTGTTAAATTAGCTTCTAATCTCAAAAGAGGCGTCCGTTCTTTTTTTGCCTTCCTGGCTTCACAGCAGTGCTGGAAGCTTGTTGAGACAAAGAATTTGTCCAAAAGCTGCAAGGGGCAGCCTTTTGGGATCCGCATCCTGCGTAAAACGACCCTATCTGTGCATGAGACTTCCTCCACTTCCAAAAGAAGCACCACCATTGTTTCCTCCGCATATTATATTTATCCGAAGGATTACAGGCGGAGCACTTTTTGCATTTCGAAAACATGAAGTGGTCATGGTACTTGGGTGCTGTGGCACCGGCCCAAACATCCTAGCCAAGTTCAACGTGTGGGATCCACATGCTGGGTCCTGAAGCATTCAAGTAGTTTTTGCCAATACTCTTACAAGCATTGTCAGCAGCCAGACCTGGCACTATCCTCAAATGGTTTGTACCAGTCAGAAGCCCAGTGTGGCACTAGTTGTCTCGTGCGCATGCAGAATTACAAACTGGAAAGCTGTATCCGAATCCTGAAAACCATTCCAGATCATTTCGCGACCTGTTAGACTCCTGACATGGTTCCTGAACCATAATTGAAGTGGCCAGTGCAGCCTTCCGCCTTCAGAAAGTCCTCAGAGCAGAAATCACAGGTCCCAACTCCGGTTTGCAGGGGCAAGCTGTGTGAGGTTTGCTCCTTTCGGCTTGCCTTTTCTTGCAGCACAGGGTGTTTGGAGGCAGCTGGAATCCGGAAGATCCAAAGCAGCTTGACGGCCTGACGGATGCCTTCTGCCATCGTCAGCTGGAAAATAGAGAACAAAAGCAGCTTTATTATGCTTACGAGCTCTTGAAAATGACTGACCAGTTAAACCACAAGCTCGGTGTCGTGGACAGCTCCAGGAGCGACAGGGTCGGCTTCTTTGCAAAGGGGAATAGCTCTGCAAACGCATCTCGCGGCAATTCCTCACCACGTTGAATTGCCCAGTACTCGGCCAAAAAATGAATCTGCCGAATGCCCGTCACAAAGTTCCATCCCGGGATAAAGAGCCCAAAGGGATCCAAGGGCGCCGGCCTGCCTGCCTCCTCCATGAGCTGGTTCACCTTCTGGTACAAGAACCACTGGTTTAGGTATATCCATGCAAAGGCACTGTAGAATGCCGTGGAGAAGCCATTGTCAAAGAAGCCTCCTTCCAGTGAACCAAAAGCAAATTCCCCGAAAACACCTGCAAACAGTCCTAGCGCAAAGGGCGCGATGACAAGCGAACCACCAATTCCCAAGCCACGATACACTCGCAAATCGTCCTCCACAAGGAGCTTGTAATACAAATACCAAATCACTCCAGGCCAAAAGGTCAATAGGCACAACCAACGAGCCCACAGCGGAAACTGAGCCGGTGCTGTTTCATCGACTTTCTCAAGAAACACTGCAAAGGACGGAAACGCCCACATCAAGTCTCTCGGCTCTGGCGTCGCAGGAGAACCAGCATCTGGCGCAGGTGATGGAGGGAAAGGGAAGAACGGAAAAGCCAATTGATTCTTCCCTGGCCGAGTAGGTTGAGTTGGCTGGTTCTTCTCCACAATCTCAGCGCGCCGAAGCAAGCCACCCAATGCCAAGGGGATGGGGGACCCTGCCAGGACCGAGAATGAGCTGAATGATGCCAGCCCTTCAGGATCCAGTGCTCGCCGTGTTGTTGAAAAACTCAAGCTTTCACTTCTCCACGCACATCCAGTAAAGAGCAATGAAATAGAAGATTGCAGGAAGGCCACCAAGAGTCCTGTGAAAAGCCAAAAGCGCCTGGCCATTCCCACGCTGTGCTTACACTGGGGCACGTCTCTCAATGCCTAACGATTGGCCTGGAACCTTCACAGCTGCAGATGAGATGTGGAGTCCAGGGTTTGGATTATGGCTTTGGACCCGTGAATCAGTTTCAGCGAAACGGCATATGACTCATATGACTATGATGGTTCTGTACAGGGCAAATGCTCATATTCCGCAATTGTGTCATCAGTGAACACGCAACATCCCATCCCGCAGCAACCTGGTCCAGCCAGTTGGTGTCTGCGTCCTGATCTTCCTCCTTGCACCATCTGGAGAGTACATGAGAGTAACCCAAATTTTTTTGAAGGAATCTCGCGCATGGCACGGCACCTAAGGCTTCAAGGAACATTCTGTCACAAAACCTCACCGCACGCCTGCTTCGAAGATAATTTCCGCTGCAGCTTCAGCACTGCCACACGCCCAAGAAGAACTTTGGCCTTAAGAATGCGAAAAGTGCACATTGGTGTGCAACAACCATCCTTCAGAAATGAGCATCCAGTGCATAAGCTTTGATGTCTCAACACAGTGCGGTAAACGTGCTACGAGGAATTGTTGCGTTATTACTAGTCCCTGCTTTGTACCCCTGCACCTCAGGAAAGCGAAGATTGCAAAGCTGCATCAATGTGTCTTCCAGTCCTGGTCCAGTGGGGTGCAAAAATACATAAAACTCAGTCCTCTGTCCGAGGGAATCCAAGGCACTGTCCTAGATCGACAATTTGTGTGATCTCCGTGCCCTTCTGCAAAACCTGGAGAGGTTACAAGTCGATGTTTAGATCATTTTAGATCCATTTTCGTCACATTCTCGATCATATACTCAAGGCATTTGTCTCAACAAGTTGCGTAGAGTTTCAGTCCTCTAGTGACTTCACCACAAACTGCTGCAAATCTTTGGCTGACTGGTTCCTCTCATCACGATCCATGCCCATCAACAGGTCACCAGATTCTCGCAGCCATTTCTTCAACGAGTCATTAGGCCTGAGAAGCACCAGTCTGGGCCAAACGAAGGCAAGAATAGATTAGCAATATTGGCAATGTCTCAGACATGTTCAGCTCCTTGTTCAACCAGGGTGCAGCAAAGATTCCTCTCTTGGTGCCTTCAGCCGCTCCAAGACCTTGCTGTAGCGCATTTCCCAACCTGTGCCATCGCCGCTGGGGCTTGACTCTGGTGGAGATGGTGCCGCCTTGACACGGATGTGAGCGAACAGTTGACTTTCAAGGAAATTGTCAGAATCAGGACATCACTCAGACAAGGACATTGGCCACAAAGCCGCCTGCAACACAGCCGCCAAACCACTGCTTTTGGAGCTCTCACCTGATTCCTTTTGCCCTTTCTTCTCCTCCTGAAAAGGCCGTCCGGCGTGCTCAGAGACTGAACGCGTGATCCACCTGAAACCATGGGTTGGGTCAATAATCACACACACAGACAAACAGCATCACTCGGCAAAAAAATGCCGAAAGAAACCTCTAGTTGAACTTGAATCCTTTCGACACCAGTCCTTGTTGGTCTTTTGACGCTTATGTACTTCAGTAGCCAACTCACGAGTGAGCGCCAAGAGAACAGCAGCCCGCCGCGCAATAGCAGAGTCCTGCTAAACCAAGTTGACACTGCGGCATCTTTCGCTACGACCTCGACGCTACGACCTCTCAGCAGGGTCTCCTCCGCAGCCTGCGCGTCTTCTCCAGAAGTTAGTGAGACCTCATCATCTGACTCAAGCCAGACTTTCCGGGACCCCAGCCAAGCCGTTCACAAACAGCTTGCCTCGCAGTCATCGTCTGCCAAAGAAGGTCCAAGTCGGGCCAATACAATCGATCCTGGTTGTGCCAACTTTCTGACGTCCTCGGTGACACCAAAAGCCAGGACACCTGTGTGCAAGGTGCATGTGTGAAGAAAACACGCTCTACTTGCAAAGGAAGTAACCCTTTGAGCAACATGACTAAAGCCTAAAGCCGTTGCATCACTCACCAATCAAATTTACTGGGTCCTTCGATCTTGAGCGAAACTCCTCACCCGCCGAATTCCCATAAGACCACCAAATGCCAAGTCACAGGCCGCTTCTGCATTGGTTCTGGCAGCAAGCCGCAAGAAACAGTGCGCATCTCTCCCCAAGAGAGGGAGACTAGGGCAGCAAAAAGCACTGCTCCAACCACAGGCCTCCGAGGTCCATGCCCCTAGTAGCGTCCTTGCTCCTAGTAGCGATGCCAGGAGTCCCTAGTAGCTTCTTTGCTCCTAGTAGTAAGGCCAGGAGCCCCTAGTAGCGTCCTTGCTCCTAGTAGTAAGGCCAGGAGCCCCTAGTAGCTTCTATTGCCAAGTAGTAGGAAAGTACCATCGCTGTGAATGGCTTTCCAAGCGACACGGACATCGCATTGCCAGCAAGGAAAATGCGCTCGGCTTCGGTGTGCGCATCTCAGCGTGCAGCCGTGCAGCCAGGACTGTGTATATATATATATAATAAGACAAGACAGCTGTCAAGACGTTCGCTTCTGTCAAAGTAATGCATTGCAAGAAACCCAAGTTGAGCTGCTCGATAGGAAAACCATTTAGTCCTTATATAGACAGTTATAGTGGCAAAGCCATGGCGAAACTTTGCATACAGTATGCACAAATAGTGTTGGAGCAGGCCACACCTACCAAAACTCACAAAAAGTGAAGATGTTCAAGGCAGGATTCGCAGGCATTCCTCACCGATGAAGGGCCTGTGCTGGCTGAAGCTATACAAAAGACTGCCCGTTGTCAGCGTCGGAATGTTGCCTGGGATGCTAAAGAACTTTCAAGAAGCATGCTGGGCATCATTGCACAACTTGAAACCTGCAACACTCAACTGGAAATGCAAAGCTGGTGAAGTCGAGCTACCATCATCTCGCCAAGCACCTCGCGAGACCTGCATGTTCAAGCTTAAAAGCGGTTGAAAGGTTGGTCAGGGGGAAACGCAAGCAGCACCGCCTTTTTTGACACTCCGGCACTCCATGAGCACCTCGCAGCACACTGACGAAGAAGTATCCAAAGGCCTGAGGAACGGCATCACTCCAGAAAGTTGCCAAACAGCATGGGCGAATGCAACTGGACTATCACGCAGTGCCGGATTCATATGCTGATGATGCTGATGGTTGATGCATGTTGATGCAATCCTTGAGTTGAGCATGCCAGCCGGAGCTGCTCTTGCGCAAATGAACTGGAACTTGAAGGCTGCCGCACCAAATCGAGTCTCACCTTGTGGCTGCTTGTATCATGGCCCTATTTCTTGCCATTCTCTGCGATCTTGATGGCGACCACTTCCCACCAGCCTCCTTTCCGGAATTCAAAGCTGCCCAATCCTGGTTGCTCATTCCCTTTGCTTTCTCTGCCTGCTCGCCGGCAATGAGAAGCAAATCATCATCCAGGTTCAGCACATCCTCCAGTCGAACAGCAACTCGGACCCCAGGCTGCTTGGCTGCAGTGGCGAGCACCGCCAACTCAGGAGGCAGCTTAGGGAGCATCCAAATCTCCCCATGACTTTCTGCCAAAGTTCGGCCACTGAAATCAATCTCAAATCCGAGTGTTCTTGACACCAAATGTTGGATTTCCTGTGACTGCTCTTCACTCACTGCCGTCAACTGGAAGTGCTCTATCAGACTTTGGCTTGATGAGCGTAAGCCATCTGCTTCGAACTGTTTCCGGCTGTTTTGGCACGGGCGCCCTTTACGAAAACAGCTTACAAAGAACCCTTCCACGTCAAAGGTGTGTGGCATGATCTGGGTCGCTCCCACATTCGCTTTGCCTGAAGTGCATGACATGTCATCAATATGGCGGAGACATCCACAAAAGTATGAGATTTGGGGGCTGTGCCGCCTTATGTCGCCCCCAAGGTCGCACTGCATAAGCAGTGATAAGTTATAAGTCAATAAGCAAAACATTATACATATATCTCTAGGGAGAGGGAGAGAGAGAGAGAGGGAGAGAGAGAGAGAGAAATATATATATAATCATATACAGTATAATCCTTCGCACGAGCAAAAGGCACAGGAGGGACGTTGCTGTGAAAAGGCATGTTCAGACAGGCCGCCAGACCCACACAAAGGGCCCAAATATGAGATGACATCTATTGGTATTGGAGGATGCTCTGCTTGCCCCATCTCCGAAAGAAAGCGCATGCACTGGCCCTCGTTCTCCCAGTAGTCGAACGTGCAAGTTGAGTACCTCGTGTCCCGAGCTATTCCATGAAACTTGTGAGGCCAGATCAACATATACTGAGTACTGATGAGATATGTGTTTACGGACCATGTAAGTTTTGGAACACATCAGGACACCTGAGATAGGACTAGGTCGTCATGGGACACATGAGATAGAAAAAGGTGTGTTCACTGACCCCTGTTCTTTTTTTCATATCTCATGTGGCCGCAATGGCCAAAATTCAGTGAAATATGTGGTAAAGCATTATAACGCCAACCCGAAAAGTCATGACAAGTCCTATCCCAGGTCAAGTGCCCTTCAAGAGT